GGATGGGTTCAACAAGTGCGAAAACCGGCCAGGGGGAATAATATACTTGATTTAATGTTCACAATCAACATAGACTCTATCTCAGTGCATACCAGTCATGGGTTTTTTATGAGTGGCCATAGAGTTGTATTGAGTACTATTCACTCTTTAAACGCCATACCATTGAACTCTAAAGCTTCATTGATGTACCAGAGCAGACATTTTGATCAACAAACCTGGAAACGGACTGAAAGTCTCATTCAATGTTTACCGTGGGACACTTATTTTACCACAAATTATGCTGACATTGTGCTTTCCAATCTATACCACAACCTGATATATTGCCTTGACTGCACTGCTCCAGTTATTGGCCGTGTGGCTTATAATGCTAATAGGGGCCCAAATACTTTTAAAAGGAAGCTGAGGAAATTAAAATGCCGCTACTACGAGCAGAATGATGTGTATGCACTTCAGAGTATACTTAAATTAATCGACAGAAATGTTTCATCTGAACGTAAGTATTTTATGAATATAGAAAATGAAGCTCTACGTAGTAAAAGCCCAGAATTATCAATACTTCGGCTTTTCAAATCCCGTGTAAAGTCAAATTCCCTTGGCACGACTAAATTCTTCATAGTTAACGGAAGCATTGTTAACGACCCGAATACTATATGCAAACAATTCAGCAAGCACTTCTCGCAGTGCTACAAAACTGGAACTGACAGCTCCAGCATTACATTTCTAGTGCTAACATCCAGACATCTGTCGAAAATTGATTTCACACCCTCCAACACAAAGCAGGCCATAGCTGCCCTGAAAAAGTCTTATGACGGTGGACCTGACGGGACGCCTTCATTTGTGAAATATGGGAGTAAAGAATTTCCACTATTTTGTTTGAAACTTTTCAACCTATCTATGGAATATGGGACCTATCCATCTGTATGGAAAATATCCCTTGTCACCCCTAGATTCAAAACAGGATCACGTAGTGGTATTATTAACTATATACCAATTAATTTGACATCCGTGCTCTCAAGAACCATGGAAAAAATCATTCACAAACAACTATTATCATTTTTACTTTCGCCTAGTCTGATCGGCCCATTCCAACACGGGTTTATGACTAAACGCTCATGTTTCACATCGCACCTGGAGATTTTTTATCAAATTACCCAGAGAAGAGATGTTGGTCAGTCAGTGATAATTCTTTACTTCGATTTTAGTAAGGCTTTCGACAGTGTCTCACACAAACTTCTTCTTTTAAAACTCTCTTCATTTGGCATACAGAATCCCCTTTTATCTTGGCTCAAATCTTTTTTAGGAGAACGTAGCCAAATCGTTCACTTTGGATCTTGCTACTCTAAACCTGTGAATGTAACCAGTGGGGTTAAACAAGTTAGTGTGGTTGGTCCATTTCTCTCTCCTTTTTATCAATGATGTGTGTTCCCTCTTTCAGTATGGTAAACCTTTCCTCTTTGCCGACGACCTGCGAGTAGCATATTCATTCTCTTCTCCCACGAAAGAAAGCTATATTTCAGCGGTAATCCAAGAGGAAATAAACAAGTTGTACGAATGGACTGTTTCGTGGAATATGCCACTTAATGTTAACAACAGTGGATTTATTCACATTGATCGCTGCCTTAACTTGAATCTGACTGTGCACAAACATACACTCAAACCTCTCAACACTATTCGTGACCTGGGTTCAAGATATAGCTACAGTCTGAACTTTCTGAGCACATTATATCTCAAGTATCCAAAGATAGAAAGCTCATCTGATTGATAATGATAAACTTCAATAATATCGAATCAAGATTGCCCAAACAACCAAAAAGGGGAAATAAAGGCGCACAAAGGGGAAATAAAGAGGAAAATGCATTGAAAGAGAAGGGGGAAATAAAAGGAGAAATGCGCCAGAATGTCGCCTTTTTCGCCTGTCCGGGGGAAATAATGCGGATTTCCCCCTTTTTGCCACGTTGTTAATAAATTACCGACTTCTCGCCTAAATATCCGCTGAACTGCCTACTTTTCTCCTGAATATCCGCCGAATTGTCGACTTTGCGCCTACAGATACGCTTAATTGTCTACTTCTCGCCTAAATACACACAGAACTCCATATTTTCGATGCGTTGGCATAACCCAAAATAAAATTGCAATCCACGGGAAAACCAGTATATTTTTATAAATTTTTATTTAAAAGGAAAAGCATATTATTGTACATTAGAGCATAAGCTTCAGCATCGATTGTTTTGCATTTCCATAGCAATTGCTTATTCATTGTTATTTGGAAATACCTGCAAAAGAAGGAACAGATGATATATTATTTATAAGGCATGTGTATTTAATCGCTAGTTCACTGACAATCAAACACACTTTCTCAACACTTCAATAGATTCCCATGTAAGTAAAAAAGCAAGCTGTTTTACCAAAAAATGTTTATTAAAAATTAAATAGAACATAAAAGGATTGTACGGACTTTTACCTTCAGCCACGTATGTTCGACTTTTGAGAATTGAAATAGTCGTCCTATGAATTCTGAAGTTTAAAAAACGAGACAAGTCACAACGACATCTGAATGATATGCTTTGGCACAGCCAAATAATTCAGACTGAACTTACGGTTGTGTTCGTTAATACTGTAGGTTGTAACTATAGGGCCGTAGGGAAGTTATCACTTTAAATTAGTACATACCTGGTCTGGTTTCCTTCTATTACGCTTTATCATTTTGTCTCAGATATCGTGAAAATAACCTTGTGTCGCGATGTCGCACATCTTAGCAAGGTCTTTTTCGTTGACACCGGATGACAGAAAGCGATTTGTTAAGGCACCTGAAGTTTAAATAATAAATACGAGTTACTTCGTATGCAGCCATAAAACCGGCATTTCTGAAGTGCTCGTTTTGGAGAGGTGCCAAGTAACGTAAATTTACTGGCAACCTCAGGTGTCAAGAGGTGCGACAGAACATGACGCATTGATTTTTTAGGATCATCATCCATTAACCTCGTTACCATTGCCATCTGTAATACGAACAAATTATTAAATTAATGTTGATGACCTATAAACCGGTCCCTGGTTTCTTTATGCTGCAAACCAGTGTCCAGCATCTGCAGTTCCTCTTCAGATGACGAAGGAAACTGATGACTCGAGAATCCGCAATCGAATTGGTGCGGTTGTTCTCGTTCATTCGACTTAAATAGTAATTGCTTGACATTAATAATTAAGTCCGTAATGGCTGTGGACATTTACTGCAGCATTTGAATAAAGTCAGTCATAGTTGACGAGTTGTTCTGCACCACTGTATGCAACCTATCGAACCTAAAAATGTTCACTTGATGATGCAGGTGGCTTACTGGTCCGATACATCACCACTGACATGCTTAGATTCCGATGTTGACGGTGATGTCTCTAATTGCGTCGAACTAATTCGTGAACATCTAAATAGTAATGAAAGTTACTTGGCAATTGGCGAGACGAATTTGTCAAACAACCGGAATTTCGGATATTGAACATAGCTATTGCCAGCCTGCATCTCAGCCACGTCAATGTCAGCTGAATTGTAAATAAATTGTTCTTTATGCTTCATTGCACCTCTAGGAAATGTTAGTAAGATTATTGTACAGACCTCTTGAGCTTTTCTGTGTTCTGTGGCAATGTGTTTTCATCGGTAGAAGTGTTTTTACGGCGAGATTCTGGTATTTGTAAAGAAACTAATAGATCTTTCGCAGACTGCAAACAATCTATAGTGAATTATAGTTTCTATGTTTGTTACTTACCTAATTCGTAAATTACATTACATTTCATAACTGACCAGTTGTTATCTGGTTTATCGCAGTTTTGCAGGTGCGTGTCGACCAGCTCCGTTGGAAAAAGGCAAAGTTCCTTGCCTACTATCCACTCCTTGGATGCTATCATAAGTTGTTTCTTGCTGAGGACGTCAACAATGACGTATCGCTTGTTAGTGGGCTAAAAATAACATAAGACGTAATTAAATTGTTTATCGTCATTAATTCAACACTAGTGAAACAAAATGCATTTGCATTAAAGTATGCAACAATGGGATTATATTTAGATTATTGATACAATTGATGGCTATACATTTACAATCAATGTCCCTAGGTGATATCCATGTTTATTCATGGCTTACTACGGAGCACATAAAGATTCCTATATCACTAGATGGGAAAGGATCTTCAAAGTAATTACGTGGGTCAGTGAAAAATCTAAATTTTAGTAGTCCATCCTTCTTTATATCAGTGACTAAACTAGGCTGTCCGTTTACTACTACTACATTATCTGGCTTAAATGAATTTATATTAATATTCTTAAACATAATTACTTGTTTATTGGAGCGCATATTGGGGTGGTATTTGTTAAACAGCTAAGTTGAAGTCTATCGCAGAAAGACATTTTTTGCAGCATAACGCTGATCTGCTTGCTTAGCTGCTGCAAACACACTAAACACGGAATCCTTAATTTGTCTCATATAAGCCTCGAATGGAAAGGCTGAAAAACTATCCAAAGGTCCTTGTGCACGAACGTCATCAGGGAGGTGCTGTAATAAATGCACATTGTAAACTAAGTTTTCAGATCCATAACACCATTCGTATTCCCTGAGGAAGTTTTGTAAATATTTTCTGGCTCATTCTACGACAGTATCATGTAATTTAGGATGTGCAAGCAGGTAATCGATTACTGTTTCCAAATTGCTTAGTGATAAATTTGCACATGATATGTCCTCATTTTTCTTGTCTTCAAAAACAGAGGATTTACAAGGACACTCCAGAAAAATTCACAAGCTCAGGACAAATTACTTGTCAGCACACTACCAACTTCCCATCGAATCATCATCGAGTGTAATTCATTACCTCAGCATGTGTTTGAGGCTCCATCCGTCGACTCTTGCAAAATAAATTAAGAAACTGTCATTACCAGGGCTAACACAAGCCATCAAGCCTTTGTTCTTTCCGAACAGAAACTGAAACTTGGTGGGTTTTAGATGGTCACCTTACTTTCAGCGGGTTTTCTAATAGTCTAGGTCGTTTGCAGTTTCTGGCGCTACCTGGGATACAATGACAGGGATTAGGAGTATGTTGCTTTACAACCGATATCATTACTCGAAACCTTAAAGCCGTAATTTTTGTTTCGCTTGCTGGATCAGTCTCATTCACATTCTTACTGTTAGCCTGTGCGTTACCACAGTACAAGTAACAGAATTACTTAGGAGTTTAATCATGTTTAGTGTTTGGTGGCCACTGTTCATGCTGATATTTTACATACTAGCACCAATTCCATTGCTGGTCGCTAAAAATTTCCAGGAAAGCTCTTCATTGGGGGATGTGAGTGTTTTTCTGACCACAATCGTGATAGTATCCGCATATGCACTGCCTATACTGTTTGCTCGAGCACCTAAAGAAAATCCCCTCGTAAGTTTTAAAGCGAAAAGTTATTTGCTTCTTGTAGATATTATGGGGTGCTTGTGGACTTACGTTATCAGCCAACACGCTTATGTTTGCAACCATCTTCTTTCTGGTTTATCTGGTGGTCAAGTCTGATGATTTCGACAGTGGATTTTAATTTCGAATAGTAAATCTCTCCCTAATTTTGACTGAATTTTAATGTAGCGCTTGTGTATTCTAAGGAAGCACTTGTTGCTAAATTCGCGTCATATAAGATGTTATTTTGCTTTCTACTTATGTATATTTTTCATTTTAATAAATCCCCAAAAAGATAAACTTTTTTGTTTAAGGACATTTTAGAAAGCTATCTCCCGAAGGCAACATACTTTCTCTGTCTCACTTTGACTTCTGGCTTTCATTTATATATGCGATGAGACGTTGATAAACTAATAATTTTAATCTTTCGAGTCATTCTGGATTCTGTTGAATCGGGAGATGCTAACTAAACAGGACAGTCGTTTGTTTAGAGGCACCGCTATCTTATACTGGTCTGACTGTGTATATGGAGCTTTCCATGAATTTTTTCTGCAGCGATCAGTTTTGTTATGCAATTAGATAGATGTTTCTAAGTTTGATTTCGCTCCCACTGTTTTACAAAACTGCGAAGTGGGCGAGACTGGAATTTAGGGACGACCTTTGAACGAATCTTAGATGACCTTGACAATTATTAGCCAGTCAGAAGACAGTTAGTATAAAGTGAAAATATTCTGAGCCCTTATCAAACCTTAACAAGTTTTTAAATCATGTAAAAGAAGAATATCTACTGTAATTCATTACTTTCTTGTAATATATTTTTACTTTATACAGCCTTCTGATTGGCTAATAATTGAAATTGCTCAAATGCTTCTCATTGGCTCTTCCCTAAATTAGAGTCTCGCCGTCCCATCTGTTGTAACCTCTTATTAATCACCTCCTCTCTAAAATCCGCTGTGAACTGATCGTATGTTAGCATTGCGTGTTGAACTTGGCTCCGTGACCTTGAAATTGCTCAAACGCTACTGATTGGCCCGTCCCTAAATTAGAGTCTTGCCGCGAGGTGTTAGATATATTTTTGGAGGAATTCAGCTCAGATAACTCGATGATTTCTCACGTGCTTGCTGTGTAATGTTTAGCTCTGATGTAATAAGGCTGTTGTGGTGAATTATGTCATCTGAAGATATGCAGGTTATCCCAACCAATTTTATCGAATATACACAGTTCATCCAAGTAGTTGACGTTTGCAGGATGCAGTGATTTTACATACTGTATTTCCATCAAACACGTAAAATACTTAAAGCATGTCAAACTTTACACGGGTGAAAATATGCCATACATTTGATTAAGGTGGTATATGTGTATTGTTAACGGAGTAGCTTACATATAGAAGCTTGTAGTTTCCTATCAAACAAGTATAAAGCTAACGTGGTGCCATACACCATGTCTAGAGAATGTAGGTTAACAGCTTTGCTTATCCGCCCAAGTCGTTGCTGGTGGATCAGCGCCGGAATCTGTGGTCAAGCATTCAAATAGCTCATCCACTCCTTGAGTTTATCTTTCATTTAAATAGATATATGCGAAATAGCTCCAAGCTTTCGTGCAAGACGGATTCTATTTTTGAAATTCCGAATGAGTTTCGAGGGTTTTCGTCTCACAATTACAACTATCAGTTGATTGGCTAGCATTGGTACACCAGAAGGTTTATGAGCTAGGCTTTCTGGAAACAAAAGTATTCCCTTTGATCTTGGAAGCAATAGCGTTAATGGAAAACTTATTGATCGTCTAAATTTCACTCATCTGAACTGGATTTCCGCCTTATGATTAAAATCTATCAGTGCCTAAAAACTATGGTGAAACAGATGATATTCATATCAGAAAACAAGTAAAACTAAAGTAGCGAAACTTAGTCCATGATGAAACAATAACTGAACACTACACACCATAGGTTTTACTCAATAAACTCGAAAATCCATACTGTATGCAACTGAGAAACCTCTGCATCCATAAACCACCAAGTTCCATTTTGGATTAATTTTCTGAAATATCTGGTAATAATCCGAGCGGAATTAGCTAAAGCTTTATGGATAGAGCTACTAATTTACCGTCCCTATGTATCTATGTAAGGTGAGACTTGAAAACGAAATATAGAAATTGTGTAAGTAGTTCCTGACAGGAAATAATGTAATCCGACACCAACATTTCAGCCTATTTACTGGTTGGGGACGTTTGCTGACAATAGGAAACAACCAGTCATAGTGGAGTTCACTTTTTAATTTTTCTATCAACCACGAGTTTCGTGTTATTCATACTTGTCATTTCCCTGTCCTATTTATTATCTGCAAACTATACTCCTTATATTTAGATCTCCACTTCACTTAAAACTAACTCCTCTCTATTAATTTCTATCTAGTTAGTTTAAATTTGCTGATATGAGGTGAGCTAACTTAAACTAAAACATATTACTATTTCTGATGTTGTCTGTGACCGGCTGTTTCACTGGAGCATTCTTTCTAATCACTTCATATATTAAGTCATTGAGTTCAAAGTAGAAAGGTCTAAACTTAGATACAAACAAATCTAGGTTATTTGTGGAAGTTAGTGTTTCTTATCATATCCCTCTGATTGATGCTGTACACAGTCCTATGTAGTTTTGGTGGTGGTTGTGCAACAACATTGGAAAAGCTTTGTAGAATTGTATTTAACAATGATAAATTATAGTTATTTCATACTTTCCGATTGTTAGCAAGTGTAAGTATCCCTCAGATATTATAAATGATGTTTTGTTAATGGACTTTTTGACAAAAGCTTGTTCGAATTGTAAAAATACACACATTAATTTCACTCATACGTGATATTTAGTTAACAAGTATGAAATCTAAAGAAGAATAAACAGAATTATTGCGAAAAGCTGCGTGTCTTACTGAACTAAGTTCACATTAAGTTGGTACGGTGAAAGTATAATATAAAGACAAGCACATCAAAATCGAAGTGAATTTCAGGCATTTTGGGCAAAATTAAAAATAAACGACGTCTTATATCACATATACTGAATGAGCAGCAAAAAACCTTTCGATAGTATTGAGAATGTTTAAATCCAAAAGTGATGATTATTTTTTACGATCATAGAGTAAAGGTGTTGGTGTTAAAATCATAAAATGATCAGTTACTTTCTATATGGATTGTATATAAAAGGAGAATCAACACTACGTTTAAATCTTAAACTTGGGTCTTAAAAAAAGAATTAACATTGGCGTTGTGCTGTATAAACGGACTATTCAGACATAAGATAACGTTTGGGTTTTTGTACAAAATTCATTCATCGTACAGATACAGAGCATTTTTCTATCTTAGATGATATAATTTTGTACAGCCATATTAAGTTGGTTTTTGACTGGTCATTTAGCATCATACCTTCTAACAAATAAATAAAAAGAAAACTGGCCAGCCACACATATCATTGAGCTTATTGCTTTACTAACCCAGTTAGGTATTCAAAATTTTATTTAATGTACAAAATATAGCACAACTAGGCACAAAAGCGCAAGTCCTACATCAAATACAGGAATATTGTCGTGAAGATATGGGGGGGGGTAGATACAATGAAAATACAGGTGAACAAATATGGTTTAATTAAGAAAAATGCAACTAAGAAAGAATCTTTTCTAGTTAAATGAGTTTCTCTGTTGTGAAGAATATAGGAGAAATAAATAGCTTAATTAATGGCTTTTATACTAAGTCATGTCCGGTAGCGTTTAAAGCCACTGGATTGTGCTAATTCTAAGATCCCAATCAGAGATTTGTGTTAGAACTACAGAAGCCAATCCTGTACAGCTTTTTTCCGTACAACATTACTTTGTCTTACATTGACTACCGGTGTAGAAAGCCCGATGATTTCAAGGCATAAATCCATATCACAAGTAAATCATTATTGTAATACAGATCAGTTGTGCTTAACCACTTTGATATTTACCAGCTTGAACACTAAGAAAGAACATTCACATCTCACTGACTACTTAAAATTTAATCAGCTTAGAAGGTGGGATAGGTTTATTACTTATTCTTGATTGAATCTTAGTAAATTCTCATATGTAGGAAGATGAGGTCTACAAATGTATGTTCGCGTTTCAGTTTGTCATCTTTTTAAAACTTGAAGACAGCTGTATATAGTTCTAATCAAACTAAGCCTCAATATGAAATGAAACCGGAAGCAAAATCAATAAACATCAGTTTGTTATTCACTTAAAGATGGTTATAAAATAGGGGTCTAGTTGTTTTCTGCAAATTAACCAAAAAACTAAAATTACAGTCTGTATTGTTATCATTAATCTTTAGACTGTTTTTATTTGATTTATAAAATTGCTTACAACATAAATAGTTCTATTTTATACTACTTTCAATAATTTGTTGATATGTAATATTTAAGTGAATTGATTCATAGATACAAAATTATGTACCCATTAAAACTGTAAAGACTTTTTATAAATGAATTATTGTTATATGAACTGTATGTTTTGTCATCTTTAAACTGTATTAATTTAATTCATTTTATGTGTTTAAATTTTTGTTCTCTATTAAATATTGATAATTGTAATTTGTTTGATCACATGTTTCCTAATGTATAAATTATTCATATTTCATTAATATTTTGTAAAATAGGTGAATAGAATTATATTCGTTGTAATATTGATTTTTATTCTACTCACTTTTTTATTTAAAAAAATGAAACCGCCAAATTGTTAAATGATTTATTTCAAACAACAAATATTAACAAATCCTGTTGATATATAGATATAGATAATGAGTTGATTCAGTGTGTATAGGTAGCCTATTGGTTGTGAAATTTTGTTTTCAACTAGTAAATCGTAGATTCGATCTTATCCCACCTAGTTGGTTGTATTACTAAATATACGTTAAATCTGAGTACAGAGATTTGTACTCGTTATTTTCCAAGAAACTGTGATATACTAATCAGGATTTTCTAAATTACAGGTCAACTCGAGAATATATCGTAAACTATAGTTTATTATTTACTTCTGAAGTTATTTATCTATCTGTTTTTTCTGTATTTGATGGTTTTGGAGATGAGTTTACTTAAGTTGTACTATAAGGTAATAAATCATTTAAAGAAAGATGATTATTTAGTGTTTGGATGAATGTTTTCCAAATAGAAGTAGTTTGAAACAGTTGATGACATAGAATATGGTCACAAATTTATTTCCATTTTGCCATTTGGTAAATATTGAAACGTTCTGAACAATCATTTGCGTTAAAGGTTCTCAACGAGTATCTGAAGTATAGCGCAAGGCTCAGTGAGGCGGTGAAAAATGCTCAATTTGTTCCTTCTTTATTGAACAAATTTATTTGTTCATTTATCTTAATAAGAATGAAGTACAAAAAGATTGAGTTCATTATGCATCTAAATTAGTTGAGAAACGGTTAAAAATTAGGAAATATTGGTCGACTTGTGGTTTTAGCATTGTTTAATAGTGTTGAAAGATAATATACGACTCATATAAATGCACTTCTGTCTTTAGATCATTTCATAATATTATGTGAATTATATTTTGTAGGCATAAAAGATTTAAATCTGTATTCTTTGCATATTGTATCGTTTCCAGGTAAGAAGTTGTTGCTGGTAT